GCCTGCTGACCAATCAGAGCTCAGTGTGCGGAGTTTCAAGCGATCAAGTCATATTACAGGAGAAAGGAAATACAGAAAAGCTGCCATTGCAGGAAAGACGGCCGGCAAAAATCACCGACTGTGTGAACGTGAACATTAATAGAATATCACCTCCATCTTCAGAGCAATCTGACTATTATAGAATAGAATAGAATAGAATTCCTTTATTGTCATCGCACCAGGTACAACGAAATTTAAAAAAGCAATCCTCGCAGTGCATTTCCACATAAAACGAATAAATATATCTATATAAACATATACACACATAAACATATGCTCACACATCCATACCAACATGCATACATGCCCGCACATTATTTAAATACAGTTTACAATATACAAATACGGGGATGATATTTGGCATCTCTGATGTCGATCAGTTAATAAATTAATAAAACTATTAAGAAGTAGTGCAGTTGCAAGTTGTAACTGTGTGTGTGCTAGTTCAGCGTTTGACGGTGTTCAGTTCTCGTATGGCTCTGGGGTAGAAACTGTTTTTCAGTCGGTTTGTCCTTGATTGAATTGACCTGTAGCGTCTACCGGAGGGCAGAAGAGCAAACAGGAAGTGTCCAGGGTGTGAAGAGTCTGCAATTATTATTAATTATTATTAACATTAGCGTTAAGAAAGCTTACTTAAATATCTGCCACAACATAAGTACACTGAGTGCAGACGTCGATGTGTCCCATTATCATTCATATCACATCATAATGTATCATATATCTCCTTATCTGAGTCAGCTGAGCCGTATCTGGCCGTGCAACACTCACAGTGTCACATACTGTATGCAGAAGTATTATTTTAAGCAACACATTAAGTTGACGAAACACTCGAGACAAATGTAATTAAAGTCAGATCGTGTTTTAGACGGGGCAGTGATATCATAAACCTGTTAATGTACGCATTCAAACACTTGTTCTGTTCCCAGCTGTATTCACCTTGCAGGTGCAGCTCTGTGGCTTTGATCCTGGATCAAGTGTTTAAGTCATGGATGTTTAAAGTTTAACTTCTTCATTTTTGTCTAATATTATAGTTGACTTTTCATTCAGGAAGTATGACGCTGCGCTGTCAGTACGCTTCTCCATGTTTGTGATTGGTCGAATGCTCCAGATACCACCCCTTTCATGTGAACGCGCACCTAACTAGATAGGACACGGCTGGCTTGAGCGATCCACTTGATAGCCCGCGTCGTAGTACCGTTTAGCGAGAGCGCGTATGTTTTGGATTAGGCCAACCGGCTAACTCAAACATATCCAGGTTAGGTTGAGCCAGCTTCGTCGTACAGGCCCCAGCTCTACTCATTTCATTGTACCTGTATAATGACAATAAAGGATTATATTCTAACAGATTTCCAAAATCGGGCATTTTTTATGAAGAATTAGTCAATTTACTGACCTCCCACCTTTCGATTTGTTGATTGTGTTTTTTCAACAGCATACAGTTATTTGATCAGAGCATGTATCAAAAGTAGGTAAACAAATCTTCACTTTATAGAAAAATAGGTAGAGTAACAACATAAATTGACAAATCGTCTTAAAAGTTCAACACTACAGTCTAGGATTATAGACAGCTGAAGTTTAGAAACGTTTAACCACTTAATGAGAGTGACAATCGGAATCTGAATGTCTTTATTGTCATCATACTCGGGTAGAACAACATTTCTGAGGATATTTAAATGTCTATTTCTTTTTGCACAATTCCTCAGGGATGCTCAGATGAAGATGGTTCTGGTGGAGGAACTCACCCTTTGCTCCTGGAGATATATCCCAGAGACTGAGCCGTCCGATGGATGAAAGCCCGCTCAGTACTGGTCAGGGACGAAGGAAACTCCATCTCTGCATTAGGACGACACAAGGTTCAAGGTTCAAGGCTTTTATTGTCACGTGTAGCTACAGTGAAGTTATGACAATGAACATCTGAGGTCTCAGGCTCCTCCAACAGTGCAACACAATAAAACAGATAAAATAGTGCAAGTAAATATAAATAAAATTGAATATAGTAGAAGTGGTTCATTCTTTGGTTATTTCATTTCAAAACCGAAAAGGAAAAAATAAAAACTTGTGTTGTTTTAAAACCAAAACCAAAAAAACCGACGTTATTCTGTTTTAAAACCAAAACAGATAAATCAACGTTTTGGTTTTGTTTGACTAACAGGACTTGTATCTTTTTCTTTCTTTATTTACAAGTAAACGCGAAGCGCTCGGAAGTGATTTCAAAACAAAAGTATGCTAAAATAAACTTGCTTGAAGCAATACAGTATTCGGTTAAAGGAACCGTGATAATATTAAACAACATACACGGATTAGAATAGTCTATAGTAGGGATGCACGATATTGGTTTTTTGAAACCGATACCGATAACTTCCTGCTTCTCAAGACCGATGCCGATACCCGATAATAATATAATATATATGTATATTAAATGTACCTGTAGTTTTTGCACACCTGGTGGTAAAAAAAAGACTAGTAGTGAGCAAATGACATGAGCATTACTACTATGAACAAAACAAAGCCAAGAACAGTTTTGACTCTCGTCAAGCGCCATAATTTCTATGATGAAGTTAGAGATCGTTTTAGCCCTGGGGTCGTCTCTGGCAAACGTCTTGCCTTTTTCAAAAGCCTCGTCGATAGGTAAAAGCCCCGGTGCCTTTGCAGCTGGCTTTGGATTCGCCGCTAGTTTAGCAGCGCAGGCGTCTTCGTACGCTTTTAACACACCATCGTAGCGATGGCGATGTTTCAGGTGACTAATCAGGTTGGAAGTATTATAGCTCGTTGCCTTTCTCCCTCCTCGTGGAACTTCTGCATTTGTTAATAAAATAGCAAGCGAACTATCTAACTCTGAAACTTTGAAATAGTCCCATACTACCGGCGACATGTTTGTTTACTGTCCTGGCTTCACGGCCGCACACCATTTACGTCACAGCCAGGCATGAGTTAGGGAGCGCTGGATTTGTGAAGAACTCCCCTCTTCCTAAACCACTAATACCACAGTACTGGCAAACCGGGAGGAGCCGAGTGAAAAACAAGCGCCCCTCATCCCAATCCACCCACACCGCAGAATTCTTTCTTTTTTTTTTTCCCAAAAATATATTGTATATTATCGGGGTTATTAATACTGGTATCGGGATTATCGGAATGACGTCATAATTCCTAATATCGGACCGATAATTATCGGGCCGATAATTATCGTGCACCACTAGTCTATATACAAGTAATTGGAATATTGATATAAATTGCAAGAGTCAAACATCCTGTCTTCATTCTCAATCTGGGAGGAGTCAAGCTAAATCAAACTATTCTGTGTAGCCCATTAAAACCAACAGATATTGGTTAATTATATTAACCAGAATTAAGTCAATTTTAACTCAATCACACGCCAAAGAGAAGAGGTTGGTCATCAGCAGCCGTTAAAGGTTTCTGAGCTGCTTTTATTTAAAAAGGTTAGATAGTCTAATGATTATAAATCAGTCAAATGTATTGTCAATCTTTCAGTTTGTGTACAGACCGAGAGATCGAAATACCGTTTCCCATAATCCCAAATACAAATACAAATTAGGGATGCCAGAAACCGACCATGATCGAATTCGAAAATCGGACAGCCCTGGCGAATATTTATCGATTATTCGCCGCGAGTTTACGGTAAAACAAACTGGTGGTGTGCGCAATGGCCATTTACAATTATTAATACTATTACTATTATTAGCATTAGTCTATATTTTGGTTGAAACTACGCCAGGAAAAAAAAGAAACACATAAATAATATAAATAAAATCGAATTTTAAAAATTATTTTCGATTATGGAGACTGTAACGAATATTCGAAAAGTATAATCGCTGGCATCCCTAATACAAATAAGTATAAAATATGTATATCCTATATATACACATAATCAACTGACACATTTATACATATGCACACATTAAGATTAAAACACAACGATCAATATATACAAAATAACAGTCACTTAAGCCAGTGTTTTTCAAAGTGAGGGCACCGACCCCCCGGGGGGCCGCCAGGGGGCTCCAGGGGGGTCACGCAAAGTTTGAGGGAAAGGGGATTTTTTTTTTTTTTAGATGTTATTAATAACTGCATATCTATTAATCTGTGTCCTTTGATGCCAACATTTTTATATTTTTTATTTATTAATATATATTTTTTAAATCACACGACCGCCCTTCAAGCCAATCAGAATCGAGCTGCCGCTACTGAGAGTGCTCAGCTGTTGGAGCAAGTGAGAGCTAGTGAATATTTCGCTCTGCAGCTGGATGAGAGCATGGATGTAGCAAATATTGTTGTTTATATATATGAATATAAATATGTTTATTGATAATATTACTGTTGAATATTATATATTATATTATTAAGGCTTAAGTAGCTTTCAAAAATGCTAAAAATATATGTTAATTGTTCATATTACTGTTCAAGATGATATAATATTATAAAGACAGAAATCACTTTAAAAATATGTTTACTGTTGATATTACTGTTTAATATTGTGTTAAGAATGTTTATAACAGAAGACACAATGAATGTAATGAATGACAAACAAAAGATAAATACAAAAAATGTTTAGAAGAATAACTGATTATTAATTATTAATACAAATATATATTAAGAAAATGTATTAAGCTGTATGATTCATTTGTCATATTTTCCATCATAATGGGCTCATCATTTAAAAAAAAATTGCAACAGGGGGGTCCCTGCCAGAGGATAATGCTATATGGGGTCCTTGGCATGGCTAAGTTTGGGAACCCCTGACTTAAGCAGCCACGACTGGTCTCTACTCTGCGTGTGTCTGGATCTGGGAGCATGAGTAGTGCATCGGATTCAAATATAACTGATGTTCTACTAGTGTTCTGCTTTTATGTTCTCATATGTGACAATGAAACCTGTACCTTTCTGGTCGCCGTAGCGAAACCTCTCCAGAGCCACGTTCACGGATATTTTGACTCCCTCATCGATGTGGATCTTTTTCATCCCATTGGAGACGGTTTTCCGGCTCCTGGCGGGCCGCTGTGACCCCGACATGATGCCCTGCAACACAACGACAGATAACCTGAACACAGGAGGACTGGGAGAAACATCAAAACCCTACTGACTGAAAGGTCCCCGATTATCCTGTTCTTCATCACTATATCACAGGACTCAGATATATCCAGAACCTGTCTCTGATTGGCTGAAACACCAAACAGATCATTGCAGCATTACCCATAATCCCCTCTGTTTCAGCCCTGTTTCCAAAGTGCTGATTCTCTGTCTGTTACTTTAGATGAAAACAAGGAGCCCCTCCCCACGCCCCTCTGAGAGACATTTGGTTACAAAGAACTCAATGGAGCTCTAGGAGGAGATTCAGGTGATAAGGGGGGGGGGGGGGGGGGGGGGGGGGGGGGTACCTTGGTTGGTGATTGGCTAATGGTTACACAAGACAAAACATCGTTATGACATCATAGGTGACCTTTAAGACATAGATATCCAAATGTCAGCTCGTGAAATGGATCAAATATTTGATATAATACAAAAAGGAGCGTTATTGGCATGACCACATCTTAAACATAGGATTGCCAAAGCATGCCGCACTAGGCCTTACAACAACAACAACAACATACATGTCAACAATACATGTGTCACAACAGCAATGTCTTGCAGATCTTGTACTTGAGTAAAAGTAGAAGTACTCAGATCTTGTACTTGACTAAAAGTAGAAGTACTCAGATCTTGTACTTGAGTAAAAGTAGAAGTACTCAGATCTTGTACTTGAGTAAAAGTAGAAGTACTCAGATCTTGTACTTGAATAAAAGTAGAAGTACTCAGATCTTGTACTTGAGTAAAAGTAGTACTCAGATCTTGTACTTGAGTAAAAGTAGAAGTACTCAGATCTTGTACTTGAGTGAAAGTAGAAGTACTCAGATCTGGTACTTGAGTAAAAGTAGAAGTACTCAGATCTTGTACTTGAGTGAAAGTAGAAGTACTCAGATCTTGTACTTGAGTGAAAGTAGAAGTACTCAGATCTTGTACTTGAGTAAAAGTAGAAGTACTCAGATCTTGTACTTGAGTGAAAGTAGAAGTACTCAGATCTTGTACTTGGAGTAAAAGTAGAAGTATTCAGATCTTGTACTTGAGGAAAAGTAGAAGTACTCAGATGTTGTACTTGAGTAAAAGTAGAAGTACTCAGATCTTGTACTTGAGGAAAAGTAGAAGTACTCAGATGTTGTACTTGGAGTAAAAGTAGAAGTATTCAGATCTTGTACTTGAGGAAAAGTAGAAGTACTCAGATCTTGTACTAGAGTAAAAGTAGAAGTACTCAGATCTTGTACTTGAGTAAAAGTAGAAGTACTCAGATCTTGTACTTGAGGAAAAGTAGAAGTACTCAGATCTTGTACTTGAGTAAAAGTAGAAGTACTCAGATCTTGTACTTGAGGAAAAGTAGAAGTACTCAGATGTTGTACTTGAGTAAAAGTAGAAGTACTCAGATCTTGTACTAGAGTAAAAGTAGAAGTACTCAGATCTTGTACTTGAGTAAAAGTAGAAGTACCAGAGTGTAGGAATACTCTGTTACAGTAAAAGTCCTGCATTCAAAATGTCCCTCAAGTGAAAGTAGAAAAGTATTCTCATCAAAATATAGTGAAAGTATCTACAGTAAAAGTAGTCGTTATGCAGATTGGTCCATTTCAGAATAATATATATGATATGTTTTATAATGATTGATCATTAAAGTGTTCTCAAAGCTGGTAAATGTGCAGCTAGTTTGAATGACTTTGTATACTGCAGTAAAGTTATGTACAAGTACCTCAAAAATGTACTTCGTTACTTCTCACCCCTCGCAGGCTTTAAGGTTAGGACTTGACACAGTTTGCATTATTCATTAAAGTTGGAATTGAGTCAATGTTTAGTTATGAGATTGGGCTAAAGTGTACCAATGTTTACAATAGGTTGAGACATAGTGACGTAAATCGCAAGGTGACGTCATGTCTATAGGGTGACCAGGTGTCCCACTAATTAACACAATGTCCCCCATTGGCTGTGGCAGGTGTCAATCAATCAACACAGTCTATACATGTAATTACCTCCAGGTGTAGCCGGTGGAGGGCGATTCCTAAAATAGTTTTTTGTGTCATTTGCCAGATTATTTTTACTCCACCTCAAGACTCAGACATATCATGTAGACATGTGTTGTTGTGGGGGGACAACCATTCAATCCCAACATATGCAAGTCCTTCACTTGCATAGTTTGGTCCAACAAATCAACCCATAGCAGAGCGTTGTTATTGATATTTATAAGCTAATATAGTGTTGTTTTTTTAGAGGTAAAAGCTCTTATCATTGCAGTAACACAACCGTAATCTTTGTCCCACATGTGGCTTGTTGGCACCTGGTCACCCTTCTGACTTTTAGAGGCTCTGGTGAACTGTTAGCTTTAGCTTATAAACACATTGAGTCATGTCACCGATAACACTATTTAAACTATCTTAGCTACAGCTAGCTGCGCGTGAGACAGAGTTATCTTTATAAGGACTGTAGCTAGCTTCATGTCCAAGTTTGTCATAAAACCAATTAATGCAGATACTGTACCTTGTCTATTCAGTAGCTTTCGTTTCTCTGGAAAGCCACCAGCACTCTTCATCTGATGAAAGCTTCTGCGGGTTCTGACAATTGCCGGCAATGGTGGCGCCAAAAACAAAAGTGCATCCGGTCTGACTCCTTCAAAATAAAACCAGGTTTGAATTATGACGAACCAAACGTGGAGCTAAAACCATAGACTAATGACCAAGTACTGTATTTAAGTAAAATGTTGAGGTACTTGTACTTTACTTGAGTATTTCCATTTTCTGCAACTTTGTACTTCTACTCCAGGTAAATGGTGTACTTTTACTCCACTACATGTATTTAATACCTTTAGTTACTTTACAGATCTGGATGAATTATGAAATATAACGAAGTGTTAAATCAGACTTTAGTTCCACCTGGAGTAAATTCACAAGCTACCCTGCAGTACAAAGTCATTCAAACTAGCTGCACCTTAACCAGCTTTGAGAACACTTAACATATATTATTCTGAAATGGACCAATCTGCACAATGACTACTTTTACTGTCGCTACTTTAACTATATTTTGATGATAATACTTTTCTAGTTTTCCTTGGGGAACATTTTGAATGCAGGACTTGTACTGTAACAGAGTATTCCTACACTCTGGTACTGCAGAAGTGGGATGTAATTGAGTACATTTGCTCTTGTGTAGAACTTTTCCAATACAACAGTAATAAAACAAATGTTTATGTTACTTTGTACTTCTACTCCACTACAAGTTGGAAAAATACAGATTTCAGTATTCTGAGGCTCTGAGCCCCATTTATTTTCCTCACGGACGGCAAAAAAAAGTCCGATATTATAGAATTTAAAATAAAAAGAATAATCGTGGCTTGATATTGAGTAAGAACATGTTTTTATGAACCAGACAGCTGCCGGTCTTCCAAGACCCGACCGGACAAAAAGACGTGGTGCCGGCACGAAATACTACTAATAGAAATACATTGCTTTTAAAATCGTTCTGTGATGCGACACGAAAAAAAGGGGGAAATCGTGTTGGTGAACACGAATCAATAGATTACATTTTGTGACTTTAACACGAAATGCCGGCCTGTGAGACTGGGTTGCTCATTGACATAACCAAGACAGAAAGCCACAGGAGGATTTTTTATTAAGACACTTCAGAATATTCTGGTGGTAAAGCAGCCCACTGTGAGAGCTTTGTTAAATTAACAGTTGCTATGTATTAGTGTCCATGCTGTTGTGCTATAGGTTTAATATGACAACACAATAATTAGTAGGCTAGCTTCTTAGCTTAGATACCATACATGTAATGTGTTTGTTTTTTAGCACTACAATGTATAAAGGTCAAAGATATAAAATAATGAAACCGAGGAAATTGAATAGTGTTTGCCATTCATTTATTTTTTCATAAACCAATAATAATTGAACACTGGTCATGTCCACACTGAAGTGCACAGCTGATGCATATGATCTTTATTCGGGGATGATGTTGGGTATTACGTTGGTCCATAAATCCACGAAAGGCATTCTCATATTCTCTCCCACATAGCTTTCGTCCATCTTAGAGTTGAGCTCCACAAACTTCTGTCCAGTGCTGTTGAATGTTGGCCAGGTAGCAGGCACGCTCAGTTCTCCTTCGTTGGGGTCCCTGGATGGATGGATGGATATAAAGCAATCAAATAAAGACAGTTATAGTTTTCTACTTCAAATAAAGTGCCCTACGTGTATTGGGGTTACAGATAGGGTCCAAAACTAGCAAGCCACATGTCTGCGAACAAATTAATTGTATATGCTACACAAATACGATCCGTTTAATTTTCAGAATATTGGGTTGCAGATTAAAATGTTCCAAAGGGGGTTCGCTTAGCGTGAACCACTTGAAATAACTAAAGGAGAAGTTAAAAAAAGAAAGTAGAAAGAAAGTGAGGTCAAAGAAAACTATTTCTTCTAAAAAGTTAGCAAGGACTGAGAGTGTTGAAAGGTGCTATATAAATAAACTTGCCTTGGCTTCAATATCTAATTCAGGTTTGTTTGATTTCTGTGATGCTCCTATGTCTTGTGTCGGAAGATTTTTACCCTGTTCTGGCGAAGTTTGTCCAGTAGGCGATCATGTAGCCAGAGAGGTCCCGGTGGCTTTCGGCTAAATACATCAATGCTGCCGTATAAGGCTTTCCGAACACGTAAGGCACATCGTCCGTATGGTCGGCTCCCATCCACTTAGGGAAGGGTCTGAAAATGCCTGCCATCTGTCTGGGCTCAGAGAAAAGGTAGGAGTAGGTGTGGCCAGTTCTTTGGTGAGACAAGGGAAGAAAAGGGATATGACAATGAGTTCACAACGAAGAAGAATGAGTTTTCAAAACGTGTGCATCGAAAAATGGCATTACATGTGGTGAAGAGACAATCTGATTGTGACCTGTCAGGGTTGACTTGGGACTTAATCCCTGACTCAAGTGCAAACATTTGAGGCTTACTGTGTTTGAAAACAGGTAGCCAAAATGTTACACAAAAGATCTAAAAAAAACTAGAGACGAAAGGAACTTTTTACCTTTTCAGAAAAGCAAACCTCATACAAGAAAATCCTCTACTTACTGCGATGACTTCCATGAAGTTATAGAATGGTTAAACCCTGGGTTTGTTCCTTAAAGGTCACCTATTATGCAAAATCCACTTGTTCATGTGTTTTATACATAAAGACCTATATGATCCATTTATATAAAAACCTGTCTGAAAATGAGCTGATCAGATTTTGGCCACTTTATGATGTCATAACGTTTTGTTGGGTTGTGTAACCCCCCCCCCCCTTATCACCTGAATCTCCTCCTAGAGCACCATTGTGTTCTTTTTAGGGATGGGTATCATTTGAAATGTATCGATTCCGGTTCTGCTTATCGATTCCGGTTCTGCTTATCGATTCCGGTTCTTATCGATTCCCCGTTTCGATTCCAAAATTAGCTGTGCTTTATTTTAACTGAGCTATGCCTGTGGCAAGCTATTAACAGGCATTACACTGTGCCTTGTCTTTTTAGTTTTTAGTGTAGTGGAGCCTCACTTTAGAGCGTTTACCGCGATCCCATCTTTGGTGTTCTGAAGTGACTGAGCTCGTGAACTGTCTACGGGAGGAGCCTCACTGCGGGGAAACTGTGGACCTCTGTCGCCGCAACTTACATGATGCCGTTTTAAAAAATGAAGGGCGGTGCCGGCCGTCAGCGTACCGAGCCGGCCCTCAACGGCCCTCAACGGCCCTCAACGGCCCGCTGACGACTGGCCGTTCTGTGATTCTCCAGAACACACAGATGGCCAGTCCTCCCTTACACTGGCTGCATTCCACCGGGTCGCCGCGGCGCAGACGGACCCGGTGGAATACAGGGTCTACCGTGTTTAGGAACCGTTAAGCAGAACCGAAATGTTGTATGGGTACCCGGTACCCGGCATTTTCTTATCGGTTCTCATCTGGAACCGAGTTTCGGTTCCCAACCCTAGTTCTTTTTAACCAAATCTCTCTCAGAGGGGCGTGGGGAGGGGCTCCTTATTTTCATCTAAATTAACAGACAGAAAATCAGCACTTTGGAAACAGGGCTGAAACAGAGGGGATTATGGGTAATGCTGCAATGATCTATTTGGTGTTTCAGCCAATCAGAGACATGTTTTGTATATATCTGAGACCTGTAATATATTGATGAAAAACAGTATAATAGGGGACCTTTAAATTATAAAGCATGGTGTGGAACAAAAGGGCTTGTAGATAAACTGGAAGCATCTGTATAGCAAGATGTTATAATCACTTTGCGTTGTCAGCATGAAGCTTCAGTGCAGCCTGAGTAGAAGCCAGGAAGAGGAAGTCTGTTTCAATGTGAACGAGGGTTTTCTTGATGCTCTCTTGGCTGGGCGTTGGTTCCCAGGTTGAGTTATATAGTGAAAGTGCAGCCTGCCAAGCAGCGTCACCCTTATCCTTAGTGTACGCAGCCAGAAGCTTCTCCACATCCTCACTGCAATAAAGAAAGGTTTGAAAATAAGTTATAATAAAACACAACTAACCAAAGTTGCTCTGGGTAATATTAAGGTACACAAATTCACCAACAACTAGTGGTTAATTAACATGCATATTAGCAGTAGCCTATATTGGCTCTTTATTAGTCATTATAAAACACTTATTAATGCCTTATTCCACATGACCTCATTCTACAAGTAATAGGCCATTAGTTGAGAGTTTTTCCTCAATAACCCTCTAATTCAGGGGTAGGCAACCCCGGGCACGTGTGCCAGCATTGTCATATATTGAGCAGAGCATAATAAGACCAAAACTCATTAAAAAACTCATCTAATTAGAGGGTTATTGAGGAAAAACTCTCAACTAATGGTGTATTACTTGTAGAATATGGTCATGTAGAATAAGGCATTAATAAGTGTTTTATAAGTAAGGGATAATGTGCAGCGAGGCGGTCATTATGAGTAAAAGAACACCCGACAGGCTGATCAGGAGCCCGACGCGAAGCACTTGATTGCCCTAATGCCAAAGTAACTGGCAACTGAATATGTTTATCCATTTGATGTCTGGACCGTTGGGTACAAAGGACCGCAGCTCCGTGTTGAGGGTTTCATCTCCGCTGTTTTCTTGTCCCTCTTGTCTTTTTCTTTTCTTCACTGGGGACTCATCAGCCACAAACCATTCATCCAAATTACTGTGCTCTCCAAATATATAAAAATGTATATTAAAATCCTCCATGTTGCTCTCAGGCAGGAGACAAAAAAAACTATACAATTAAATCGACCGGACTTCTTTCTGCAGATGTGAGCGTCTTTAACAACGGTCAATAAATCCTTGACAGCGGTCTGTACTACTGGATTAATAACGTGTCACGTGTTCTGAATTGACCAATCAGAATCGAGTATTCAACTAAGCCATTTAATAAAGAGCCAATATACTGCTAATATGCATGTTAATGTGAACAAACGGCATCAACTCACACAGGGACGGGCAACAGGTCGATGTTGACTCTTGGAACATCGATACTCGTGAAGGCGTGTCCGTCCATGTTGTTGACTCCAGCGATGAAATCAATGTCCGCCGCATTGTGGAACAACTTGGACGGATGATCCGGCAGGAAGTCACCGTCGATG